GCCTATGCTGTGCACTGGGAGATGTCAGCCAAGGCTGAAGATTATTTCTACTTCAGTGTCAGCCAGTGCTTTGCTTTCTTCTGCTTTGGTGTCTGTGCAGCACAGTTCAGCAAAAAGACTTGAGAAAAGCAGCAAGATTTTCTCAATAAGACTTGAGAAGAGCAGTAAGTCATGCAGCCAGAGGACTGAAGTAATACCCTGGTGTTTGGGAGCAATCACTGGCAATGTGAAGGTCTGCATAAGTGTTTTGAGGGCAATGGTGAGGAGGATTTGCTGAAACGAAAATACAGTTTTGGGCCAGAGTGGCATAAATGTTGTCGTCCCACCTACATGTGCCACTTTCTGATCAAAACCTTAAAAGAAGAACAAAAACTACATTTCAATATCTGCTTTGGGTATTTTTGAATAAAAGAATCACTAAAAATGAAGGGAGGAGACCTGAGTATCCTTCATAAATATTGAGACTTTCCCTCCTCTCAGTCTCCTCTGCAGTGACCTCTGCAGTCTTCATTGTGGGGAGCAGGGAGCAAAGGACACCTGCCCATGTCCCAGGAGGACCTGAGGTCTCCACCTGCCCTTTCCAGGAGGGTGTCCAGAATATGCTTTTTAACCTGGGAGGGGAGGAGAGGGACCCTCCTTCCAATAGTGGAAAACCAAATCTCTTCAGTTTCATTTGACTTGTCAGGGTTCATGAATAAAACAGTGCCATGTGCATTTCTGTGTTTTATCCACTAGTTGTGAAATAAATGCTTCTTCCTGCCCTTCAAAAATTTGGGAAGGTAAAACCATCTAAGTGATGCCATTTTCCTTTTGGCCCCCTAGGGCAGTAAGTGAATTAATGTGTTTGGTGCTTCTTTCTGTGGATTCTGCAAAAACAGCTGCCAAAGAAGATAGGATGTAGAAAAAGGCAAATGCTGAAAGTGTCAGGGAATTCTTGGGGTGTGACAGCAGCCTTCTCCACCCCATCTTCAATGAGTTTTTTAGCCATCATTATATTATATGAGTCCCCCATGATTGTCAGGCTGTTTTGTTGAGGTTTGTTTGTCTTTGTACTATTTCCAGATTAAGACCCCTGGAAGCCTCATAAAAAATGAAGCTCTTCTTTTCTCCTTTTGGGAACAAACCCCAGCAGCCCAGGTGCTTGGGGTGGTTGCGTGAGGCTTACTGGGAGGCTGTCTGATGGACTGAAGTTAGACACTCTTAATGTGCTTTCTAGAAGGAAAGAGAAAAATATATCTCTGAAATAGACGGCCATGCTGTACTTATTAATTATTGATGTTACATTGGATGACTTCTTTCTTCTATTAAGAGATTGGAAGAAGAGGTGAATTTTAATGGAGGGGTATGTAGGATCCTGGGATTGCTGTTTAAAAGACAATTTAAGGCAGAGCTCCCAGTCTGATAACGTGAATGTGGCATGTCTGCATGTCTGCATGCCCAGAGGAAGCTGCAGTATGAAAACTGTCACCAGTTTTGTTCTGATACAGTTCACTCAGCTCTGTATGATGAATTCTGTACATATGTAATAACCTGAATCTCACACGAGTTCATAACTGTGCTTCCAGTCTAAAAGTGCAGGAGTTGTGAAGTCTGTAGTTATTTTCCCCAGAGCAACTGGATTCCTACTGACTTTTGCACCTTTTCATCCTGCCCAACAAACAGGATTGCAGTCCAATATCAATATATAGCTATTACTGTAATGGATACAGGAGGAGTGCTCCAGAGTGATAGAATTCTTAGAATTTGTATTCCCTGATTCAAGTAGATGGATTTATTTTCATATAGAATGAGCTTTCAGTGTGAAGAAGTGGAAGACTATCTGCTGCTCTCCCTGGACAGATATGCCACCCCCAGGTTCAGTGTGGCTGCTCTTTTCTGCTGCCCGTCTGAGAAGCAGTTGCCTATTGGGTAGGGGAAAACAGTTGATTAATATATTTGATTTTTTATGTCAGTTTTTAGATGTAAGTGGATTTAAATCAGAGTTCCTCATTCAATGTCAACAGAAACATCTGAAGATCTTGCTGGTTATCTGCAGGTTATTTTATTATATAAGGACAAAAAGAAAAATACAATGCTATTGCTGAGCACTGTTTATCTAGTGTGTGTGCTTCAGGGGAAAGAGTTTCTAAAGTATAGAACTGATTTTGGTACTGAATGGCTCCAGCTGAAATTTGGTGTTTGGAAAGGAAAGCTGTAAAACCAGCTACTTTCTTAGCTGTTAGCAGGAACCCACCAGGCACAAGCTGCAGTGGGGAAGAAGGAAAAAGCTGCAGTGATTCCTAGGTTGGGAAATTCCTGCTAAACCTCAAGAAAGTAGATTTGGCTTGAGTTTAAATGTTACAAATCCATGGGCAGTCTATCAGATAGAAGTCTGTCTCTGTTTTGAGACATGTGCAAAAGTATGTGTTGCTCTAGCTTCTCAGGAAGAGCAATAACTCTCAATTTTTTCCATGCTGTTTGGCTTTTTCTGTTTGGTTTTATTGTTTCTAGCTGAAATTCTGTAATGTGCTCAAGATCAGGTTTCACACTGGCTTCTGTGACATCACTTCTTTCTTAGGCTAGGTGAAGACAGGATTACAAGTCTGGGTCCTATGGAAATCCAAGTACCCAGAAATCCCATTTCTAATATATGTAGCTATCACCCCATTTTTACAAAAGAAGAAAATAAGGACAATTTAACTTTTTTTAACATGTACCTACTATTACCTCAAACAGCCAGTTGTTTATTTCAGTAATGGTAATGTTATTTTACTCTTTTGTCATCTGTGAGCATTAAGCATTTGCTAATGACTTCTCTACTAATGGTATCAGTGCCTGCATGCTATTGCCTTTCAATTTGCTGCTTTTAATAAAGCCCTAAATGAGTTACTGCTGCTTGCATAGGTCTGGGAGGCTGAGCTAGCTCCACTGTTGACTATCCAAGCCTTTCTTGAAATATGAAGATTTATAAACAGGATGAAAAAAGATTCCTCTCTTCATTTTCAAGTCTGCCAATTTTCAAGGCAGGCAATGTGGTAAAAATGTGGGTGGAGAAGTGAACATTTTCAGCAGGATTCAGAGGAAAGGAAAAACACTCAGGGTGGTGGATTCTCAGCTGGGAAATAGAAAATGTTGGGTGTGTGGCAGCACAGTTTCAGGAATTTATGCCATCAGTGTTATGATCCTATTTGGTCAGAGGTCAAATATCTGTTAATGAAACTTTGTTTTGCAATTTTCTATCTGCTGTTTTGTTGAAGAGGCTGGTGATTCCTACCTTTGAGACCTGTATTTTGTGTTTCAGGCTTTCCTCTGATCTCAGAACTGGCAGCTGACCTTATCTTAGTTTGTGTCAAAAAACTGTCTCCTTCCAGGAGTAAAAAGATTTTGAGTTTGAAATTATTTTATTATCTTGGAGCTTATTGAATTGATTACTGTTTCAGTTGCAGTTACTCCAGGTGTGGTTAAGAAAAGTTTGATATATAAGATGAAAACAATTATAAAAATGGCAATGCCATGACAGACAAATGCATCTTTTTTACTATGTTGGGAAGAAATAATTTTAAATTATTTGGAAAAGCTGGCATGTGTGCTCAGCCTGTGAAGATGTTTGGGGTCTCAGCACTTGACCCAGAAAGTTTTGTTTATATAAACCCATGTATCTCAGCAGGAACTTGCTGCTTTCTTGGCTTTCCTGGTAGGAAGGTTTTAATAACACGTGTGTTTTCTTTCTCTCCCTCTTTTCTTTCCTCTCTCTTGAATACTGAAATCTGGTCATCTGATACAGAAGTGCACAAACATGCTAAATTTGGTTAGAATATTAGTTTAATGAGCATTGGTATGTTTTCTTCCTGAAAAACTTTTTTTAAAGTAAAATTTATTATTAAAAATAAAGTATGTTTTCTTGATTTTTTTAAACTTTGTATTTTAAAATTACTTTTTATCTAGCTTTAAAAAGTTCTATTTCCAAATTTCAAAGGACAAATATATTTTTAGCAAGTATTTAGCTCTTGTAAATCGTCTGTTTTGTCTCAGCTTTCTAGGATTTATAGTTCTTGGATTTCTGTAAGAACAAAGAAAAATATAAACCTGTCTTTAAAATGGAATATAATTTGGCTTGATTTAGCCTGGCTTTTGCTTTAATAAAGAAAAAATATTATATAAGCTCTACAGCTGATGAGATTTGTATCTTTGGTCTTGCATATTTATTTTCTTCACATGGGGGAACAAACAGAAAGTTGAACACCACCCTGAATCCTAGAACATGGTTTGACTGACAGATATGTTGCTGCTGCTGGAGCATCTTTTGATGGGAGGATAACCTCATTGTGTGAGGTTTTATATATATTTTGGTATATTTGTGGCATTTGGTACTGAAAAATACATGTATATTTTTCAATACTAAATGCCACAGCATTAATGTAACCACTTGCCAGGGTGAAATGACTGTGATGCAGTGTACTGACATTGCAAAAATAAATCATATACTTGATGTCTACTGAATGCAAGCATAATTGAAAACATGGTTCTTTATGAATTTATTGTTTACTGAGCATTTCTTGCTGCTTTTTCATAACTTGGGCTCATGCTTGTCATCTGGATTCATTTTCTTCATGATATTCAGTGTTTGTGCAGGGGAAAACTGCAGCTCTGTGTTGCAGTGTGGAGAGAGAGAGAGAGAATTTAAAGTGTGCTTTGCAGTGTGTCTCTTACATACCTGAGCTGCCATAGTCTGGCAGCAGGTAGTGACACCTGCTAGGTTTGGGAAGATCCCTGCACTGTGAAGCAGGGATCCTCTGTTCTGCTTTTAGTTCTCCTGTGTGCACATTGTAGGGCATGGATGGCTTTAAGGATGTAAACTGAAGGTGGCTGCTTGGGTTACTCAGTCATTGGTCAGTGCTCCTCTGATTCCCAGGGTCCTGCTGCTGCTTCTGGTATCCTGCATCTCTGCAAGATCAGTAGTTTGCATTGATCCCTCTTGACTCCTCATAAATTAAAATATGTGATTTGGTTTTGTTTTGCAGCTTGCCTGATTTCTGCAGTGACCGGAGTGGGTGCTGGTGCTCCAGAACTTGGTGCTCTTGTACAGGCTTTCCACAAGGAGCGGGGAAGAGTGAGTAACCTGCTCCATGTCTGGGGATCCTCTAGGGTGGGGGCACTCTTTCTGAACCTTTCATGTCTCACATCTTAAACACTGAAGTTTCAGCACAGAGACTGGAGGTACCTGTATTTCTATGCAGCACGTGCATTGTTTATCATGATATTATGAACAGTGGCAGTCCAGTTCTTCCAGTACTCCAGCAAGAGTTCTTGGTGTATCCATTTTTGCAGATTAGCTGTACTGTAACACCTCATGTGGGAAAAAGCTGTACTGAGCAGAGGTGTTTCACAGTAATGCTATCTGTTAATGCAGACACCTGTGCTGGATATCAGTGTTCTGTGCAGCCTCCTGTGATGTATCCACATGGTTCTCTGTGGGTCTGGAGTGGGAGGGAGGCCCACAGCCAGAGCTTTGTGACTCCAGCTGAGGCTGCGTGTGTGGAGAGGTTATCTGCTGTCATGCTCCTCAGCAGCACCTGATGTCATGGCTTTCCCTTCCTTCTCACATGAATTTACCAGGCTGGGGATGTATTTCCCAGTACCTTGCAAGCCAGCAGGGTTTCTTGTCTTCTCAAATAAGGCATGTGAGAAGTCTGCAACTGTCTGCCCACAAAGCAAGTGCTGTTAGCTGGATGACTTGGGCTAAGCATGTCTCTTGGTCTGTGCTGTACAAGTAGTTGTACTAACAGAGCCTTGTGGAGAGACTGCACTGTTTGCTGATAGAGGCAGGAAGTTTTTTCCATCACTATTGCCTTTCCAAGTTCCTGAAATGCAGTAGCACTCTTTTGGGCTTTTGCTGATGTGATCCTTACAAGGGTGTTACTTAGCACATCCTAATGGATTGAGGTGACCTGGCAGAGCTTCCAGCTGTATGCCAGCCTTGTCAGCCACTGAGCAAATCTTACACATGCCTTAAGTTCTTACTGTACCTGTGGGATGCACAGCTGCAAACTCTTACCTTGTAGGTTTCCTCTTTAGCTGGTTAGTTAATATGCAGAGAGAAGATAAATGCTAGTACCTAGACATTGATTTAGAAAATGGTTTTTCATGGTGCATGTTACTTTTCCTAGAGAATTTTCTTACTTCTCACTCAGAAGAATTTCAGAGGTCTTTATGATTTTTTGATTGTTTTGTTTTTCTGCCCCTACATAAAGCTACACTCTGGTGACATATTTCTTGTTAAATTAGTCTTTGTGCAAAGAGAATGATGGGACTCCAGCCATCAAGGGCTAGTGTCATGCTTGTATGTAGTTATGTAAGATGGGAATGTTTTAGCCAGTCCAGTAAAGACATCTTTTAAGGGCTTCTGGAAGGGTTCAGAGTTAGTCATGGTCTTCATGGTTTTCATGAATGTTAATCAAGCAGACTCATAGTCTGTAATACAGAGGAGGCTGGGCTAAAGGTGCAACTTGTCTTCCCAGGTTGTTATTTAGTCTCCATGCCTACTGGACAGACCCTCAACTCTTACATGGGAATGGGGCAGTATTCTTCTAAAACATTAATAACTTGCAGTTGCCATGCAAGTTATTAATCAGCACCAGCTATCACGAAGTTCCTGTTATGTTATCATCTCTTAAAATCACAGAACTGTAGAATGATTAGGACTGGAAAAAATACCTGCTTGTTTGTGGAAGATTTATGTTATTCACAAAATCAGGCTAATTTTCTGGTGCTTGATTTTGTTAGTAATAGGTTGAGAAGGAAACCCTGGGGGAACTTCTTCACTTGCAGCAGGCAAAGCCTGTGTTTCTGCTCCCAGTGCTGCCATCATTCATCATTGCTTTTGCCACTGGTAACAGAAGATGTAGTACTGGGTAGCGTAGGACATGATTCATCCTTTTGCACTACCTTAGTATATGGTGTTTTCAAAAAGAAATAAATTTCTTGCTATATTGGTAGCAGCTGCTCTTGCAAACCAAGGATTCAGCTCTTGCCTTGTGTGGGAGAAGAGGGTGTTGTGGAGAAGAGAGACCTAAAAATAAACAATTAAATCATAGCTGGTTGATTGTCTTGAAGTGGTATTGTCCCCATACTCATCTTATTTGTCAAAAAATGGAAAAAGACACCATGAGGTAGAAGTATTTTAGAAAGTATTAAATAAATTGCTTTTTAAATGGGATTGTACAATATTTAATGTGATTATTTATGGCTAAGTTAGGATTATGAAGTGTGAGCAACAACATGAAACTATTCTGATTATTCTCACAGATGTTTAAATATTTAATTTTTTTTTCTTAAGAATAACTTCTCCCATCAAGAAATGCAGAACTTTTATGTAATAACTGCACATAGTCCATAGAACCATATATCAACATGTGAATCAGTTAACAATTTTTTTTTTTGGATGCTGAGAATCCTTTTCAATGCATTGTCCCCAGGCAAACACAGCACTTTGCATCTCAGCTTAGGAAAAGTTTATGCTGTTTTTTGGCAGTTGTCAATACAATATGGGTTGTGAAGGAAGAAGGCACCCAGGAAATGTGCTTTATGTTATTCTAAATGACTGTCATCCTTAGCTTTGCAGAAAGGACCACAGAACCCTAATAAGAGTCTGTCTCATTACTAGTCTTCTATTTATGTAAGAGATTTGGGTGATTGACATTAGGATAAAACTGGATTCACATGCATGTTTCTGTCATTTAACATCCAGAAAGGCTGTCCATATCTCAGTATGCTACACATGGGTTTCAAATACTTTTTCACATAAGTAAAGCTACAAATGCTGCATAATATGCTTTGTTTGTCTCTTGTATTTGGAGGGCTTTCTAGTATCCATGGCAGTTGGAAACAGTTTTGGCTTGAAGTCCCAGTCTTCAAGCAGTAGGTGGGTTCTGCTGTGCTTTTGAAAGGGTAGAACACAGAGAGTTTAGATTAGATCATTAAGATGCAAATGGACAAAATGGATAAACTGGGAAATTTTGTCTTGAGTAATAATACAAAGTCATTCTCTTACTTTTCAGTATTTAATGAAGGACACTAGCAGAATCTAGAAGGTGGTAGGTTTGAGTTTTGGTTTTCTGTCTGGACAGTTGACAAAATTTTGGGATTTGGCAGATAGATCAGTTTGGAGAGAGAAGTTGTAGAGCTGGTAAATGCAGAAATTACAGCATTTTTCTGGAGAATCTGGTTTTGCTTTGTCTCAGCTTCCAATTTTTGCATCCGTTCTTGAATGGGTGGTAGCAGTGCTGTGTTGATTCCTACAAGATACAAGGAAGATGAAAGTGGAGAGTAGTGGTAAAATGCTACAACAAAAAACCTAGCTGTGCTTGGAAAGCTGTCACAGAAAGCAAGAGCACAGTGACATCTCTAACTTCAGAAGAAATAAGTACCTTCTCATTTAGAAATACTGTTTTTAACAAACAGTCATCTTTGAAAAATACTTTTCACGGATCTTGGTGTAAATGAGGTTCAGAATATATGTCTGAAATATTGCCCTCTTGGTTCAGGCTTTATAGGGAGAGCTGTGTTACCCAGCTTTGTGATGACTGCTTTGATTGTGTAAAGCCTTTGCACTCCCACAGCTCCTTAGCTTGCCAGGCTTCCTTCTGGCACACAGCCCAACCTGCTGCAGCCCCAGGGGCTCAGAGCGCTGCAGTTCTTCTTTTTAATGGGCAACATTACCTCTAACTTAACAAATCCTTACCAATGAGCAAGTAAAAATTGAGATCACTAACTGATACCAGTTCAGATAGCTGCACTGAGTGAATGAGGTTGACTGTATTTTTAACAAACTTGCAAGTGCTACAGACAGTGCTTTCCTTTGTGTTAAAATATATACGTAGTTATGCACAGAATGTCCTGATGTTTTCTGTTACTCTTTGGTGGACAAAATCTGCGCTAACATAATGTAAAATAAATATAAAAAAGCATGTGTGCTTTACTGAGAAAATATGTATTGTCTGTGCAGGGGCCTATGGTCAGGGGACCATGAATGTTTTGAATTCAGCTTGCTCTATGTGATTTGGTTGCAGAAGTACTGGAAGGCTAAATTTCAGAAAAAACATGCTTTTGATGAGTTAGGGTCTGTATTATAAAGCTGTAAACAGTAGAAAATTAGTTCAAGTGATTAGCTGTGATTATATCCTCCAGAACAGAGTGGGAAATAATAGCATCCATCCCCACATGGTGTATGGGAGCCTCTGCTAAACAGGTGGGTGGCACAGTACCTGGAAAGGATGACCAAGAAAAAGAAAAGCCCTCAAGAAGGACTTCTCAGTTATGGAGAAGAGGGAAAGCATCCAAATCAAAGCTTGTTAGGGGAGGAGTTAGAAGCACAAAGGCAGCCAGAAAGTATACAGGACAGAGAAATGCAAGCAAGAATGTCTGCATGCAGCAAGAATTTCACTACTGAGAATTTGTTGGAAGGAGAAATGGTGGAGTTGCCAGACTTTTTGGGCAGGACAGGACTTTCCAGATATCTGAGCATGTCAGGTCCAAGTGTGGTAAAACCACAGAAACTGCAGCAGGGCTGGAGTGCAGGCAGGACATCCTCTTGTCTGTGGGACTGTTCTTGTCTTTCCAGTTCCCGGAAAACTTTAATCCTGCGCCAGCAAGCAGAGGTCATGGGGGAGGGAGCTGTTTGGAAAGCAGGGTGGCTCTGCCTCTCAGCAAAGGCAGGTGCAGGGGACAGCATAACCTCCTTGGTGTGAGCACTGCCAGACAAAACTGGAAGGATGGATAAGGACTCTGAGGTAAATGAAGACTTGGGAAGAAATGTTCCTGAAGTGAAAACACCTATTTTAAAATGAACCTCTTTAAAATACCTATTATAAAATGAAGATACCAGTTTTTAAAACTGTTGGTAGTTATTAGATGAAACTAATGGTTAGGAATTGTTGATTACCTCCGAAAACGTCAAACATGAGGCATTGTGACTTGAGAGATCCATGTCCAGTAGCTGTTCCTAGTACAGAAAATGAAAGTGCTGTCTCTGTAGGTGTCTCCAGAAATCAGCAGCACAACTTCCTAATGGCCTGGCTGGCACTTTGCTTACTTGTTTGAATTGTGTTTTGCTACTGTTGTCCAACAGCTAACCCTGCCAGTCACTTCTTTGAATGCAGGCAAATTGAAAAACAATAAATTTGCATTATATATGCAAATATGTACACAAAAACTGTGTGTATATTGAATTGTGATTTCTTAAAATGAGCCATCCACCAGTCTTACAGACTGATTTTTAAATTTCACCCCACCCCCAGATTAGTCTCTTTCAGTGTCTGAACCCTTTGCTGTAATGGATCTGTTTTGTATAGGACCCGTGGCCTGTGTGTGCTTTTAAAACAATGCACAACATTCCTCTTACCCATTCCTTAGCAGACCTATTTCCTGGTATTCAAAGACTTGGAAGGTAGGATTGTGCTGTTTGTCAGAATATCACACAGAGAGTGCTGGAGTGTGATTTCTTGAGTAGCTGTCCCCTGAGAAACATCGTGCAATAACCTTTTCTTTCCCCACACTGTGTGCAGCTGTTCCCTGCAAGCGTTGAGTGATGTAGTCAGTCACACCTGGATGACTTCTGTAGCTAATTTGCAGTCATCTCCATTTTTCATATGCTTTTTCTTGGGTATGTGAGGGTTGGTTGTACAATTGTATGAGATTATGGCAGCCAATATGAATGTACCTATATTTATGTTTGAACACAAATGTATTTATAGCAAATGTTGCTTCTGGAGAGCCAGGGAAGGGCAAGGAGTCAGCTGACCTCATAAGCAGCAGCATGTGTAAAAAAATGAATTTGGGTGAAACACAACCTAGCTTTAATCGCCATTAATAGTATGAAGATTGGACTATGAAAATTTTTTTTCTGAAACAAAAGGGAATTCAAGTAAACTGGATTCTGTGTGCCAGCTGTATAGACAGAACTCTTGCTTTGACTCACTCATTGGAAAAAAAAAAAAAAAGTAATAAAGACTACCAGACTTTAATTTGTCTTTTGGGGTTTTTTTCTTAGTATCAAAACATGAATACAAATAAAATGATACTTCTATGTAGCAGCCTTAAAACCTGAGAAATGTGAAAGAGTTGTAAGAAAAGCTCTGTAAAGAAAATGGCTTAGGAAGATGGCAGTCTCAGTTGAGAGTCATGGCATCTTTCCAAGATGTGTGTCTTCATTATGTGTGCTGATGAGTAGCTGGTAGCTCTGTCACCACAGCTCCTGAAAGGGACTTGGCCTGAGGTGAAGTGCTTTCAGGTGCTCCCTGGGTAGCAGGTATGAGTGCTGGTGCTCAGGGTTTGTTTCCATGGTTCTCTGTAGCTGCTGCAGCGTGGGGATAGCCAGCTGAAAGGAATCAGGGAAGATTATCACGAAGGGACCAAAAAAAAACAACTTTAGGCAGAGCTATATCAAATTTTTTCTTGCAGAGAAGCCATGAGGTTATATGTCTATTTGTGTCTATGTAGTTTTAAATTCAACTATAAAGATGGAAAAATCACCTTAAAACATTTTAAGCAATTTTGCAGTATAATAATAAGCAAAAAACCACAGAAAGCTGTTCAGAAACAAATGTGAACCAACAGGTTAAAAACTAATATGAAGACTTGATCTGACTTATCAGGTACATTCAGGTTTTACTCAGGTTTATGTGGAGTTGTAGATATCTAAGTTGTGTACAGTTAAAAATAAAACCAAGTCCAAACCTCTACATGCATGATATGGGGGCAGCATTTGAGAACTCCTTCCATTTTGTTTATCAGTCTCATGGATGTATATATGGAAAATATGGGCTTCTTTTCAGATGCTTTAGCTATGGGGTTTGGGTACCAACAGAGTTATTCACATTCCTGTAAGAGTTCCCTGAGCTTGCTGAAGAGCAGAAATTCCCCTGAGGTTCACCTCTGTGAGTGAATGTTTTGAAAGAAAGGGGAGGTTGCTTTGGCTAGTCTGAACCACAAAAGATGGCTCTTAAGGAAAAACAAAACTAAACTCAACAAGAACTAACAAACAACAGCACAGAAAAACCCCAAAACAAACCTCAGCAGCATCTTCATTTGTCTTGATCTGTATATGTCCTTGCTGGTACATACATCCCAATATCACAATTCTTTTGTGGAGCAGTTTAACTTCAGTTGCTGTCTGACACCTGCTTCTTAATTGGCTTTGGATAGTTAGCTTTAATCCACCTTGTAAATCTTTGAAGTTCACATTTTATGCAGTAACTGATGAAACCTCTGCTATAATGAGAATCTATCTTTATGTTGTCTTTTCCACTGAGGTTTATGGAGTTTTTAAATGTGATATTTAAAAATGGTCATACCTTTGGGTCCTGACCTCTACAAAGAGTGGTTTGCTCCCAGAGTGGGCACACTACCTTAGGAAGACCATACTGTACTTTATTTCAGCTGTTTGAGAGCATGATTGTAAGGTTTGGGAGTCTTAATTTTTATTTGTTAGGATTTTTTCTTATGGTATGGTGCAGAAGGCCCCCTTTAATACTGTGGTGCTAGGTACAGAAGGAATAGCCCGTCTTACCTGTAGACATTTGATTTAATTTAGTGAGGTTGCTTTGGGAAAGTGTATACCTTTTAGAAAGACAGCAATGCATTTATGAAAAATGAATAATCTTGCAGCTCTTTACATACTGATCAAACTCTTTCACAAGCAATGGAAAAGAATGGTAAATACTGTCTTCTTGTTACAGTCTGTTTTCCCCTCAGTAATTTTCTTTTCTAATCCTTGCACAGCTAAAGACTGTTCTGTTTGTATTTTGTTATGAATTTCGTCCATTTAGGGTGAGGAGAGACCTAATTTTTTTCAACTAATAAATATGTATTTTTAGTTTTATTCCTATAGAACAGGAAGGGGCAAGCAGCTATCTGCAGGTTTGTTCCTTGCACAACTTTACAATGAGTTGAGCTAGTAGGCTACCAAAAAAAACTTGTAAAGGTCTGTTTGACCCATGGCAAGGAGTTGTCCCATATTGTCCTGCAAAAGAAATGCAGGGATTTTTGAATGACTGTTAATTTTACTGCATACTACTCACTTAACAGCCAGAATTCTTTTAGTGGCAAGACAGTACTGTCTCATTGATTCACTGAACTTTCCCCATTGAGGGGAACTGAACAGGACATGCTTTGTCAGCACTGATTTGGAAAATAATGGAGATCCTTACCTGTTGTTTGGACTGTCAGGTGTGCAGCCTTATAGGTGTCTATTTCAGGAGTAATCTACAAAGGCTGTGTAGCAATGTTATGCAATTGCATTTAAAGTCATTTTCAGCTCAGGCTGCCATGGTCCTATTCTTTCCACTTGCTCTCACTAGCTACCAATACTTGTGCAACCACCATCAGCCATTTCAGGAGCCTAATCTGACTGAAAATACTCTGTATATGAAGTTTTCAGCTGTGTTAGCTCCCAGACCAGCTCACCAGAGAATTGCATGGATGCCAGTATATATAAAAGGCTTATTTAATTCAGGAATAAGCTAGCATTGTGTTCAGTAAGGGAACAGACATACCTGAAGATCTGGGGAGATCTGCCAGTTTAAGTGCAGTGCTATTTTGTCTATGTCCTGATATTTGTCTTTATTTCCTGCATAGAACAAGCTTGTGCTTGTAGCTGCAGCCTGAGACATTAAAAATCCTTAATGAATAAGGAAAAACACTCTTCAGAATTTGCTACTTTTCCTGGTATTTCCAGCAAGGGAGTAAATAAAATAAGATGGAATTTATCTTAACAAATGATGTGGTTAACATTCAATATATATTGATAGACACTGGGGAATAAGAAGGCTATTCAGGTAAACTAAGAAAAAGATAAAGCTGAAAAACAACTGAAAATCATATTTTGGTACAAAATCCTGCACCACAGAAAAAAACAATGGGACTTGGTTTTAGACTAAAACATTTTATGCTAGTGATTTAACAGCTTCAGTAGCACTTCAGTTAAGACTTTGGATTTGTTATTCCAAACTGATCATAAGATGTGCCATGCAATTTTTTGTTTGCTTAGGGTTTTGATGGTGCAAGAAAATTGATACATGAGTCAATAGCCTGCATTCCTGTGAAAATACTGCTGGATAGAACAGAACAGAACTAAGCAGTCAATGTTATGTAGCAAGGATAAGTTTTGCTTCTGTAGTAAACAGTTCATAAATGACTGCTTAATGATTGCTTCACAAAATTTAAGACAAACATTGTTTTTAAATCTCACCTATTGGCTGTTCCTATTAAAAGCCAAAAGCAAGCTCTTTCTTGCAGTGTTTGTTGCTCTCTGTCATAGACCAAAAGAAGCTACTGTATGACCTGAGATTTCTTTGTGTCTCAAAATTTATGTGAGCTTATTAATGGAGGCCAACCACCAATAATAAATTTGTGCTGCATGTATAGCACAACAGTTCATCTCCTCTGACATCATGACTGAATAATTTATAGATGTAGTTATCCTGGAATTTGTAGGGATCATTAGCATTTTAATGAAAAAGATACAGCTGTTGTACTAAATCTTCACTTTTTTTTTTTCTTCTCCCTCAGTAAGAACTTCGATCTGCACTTTGGGAGCAGCTGCCAGCGTGTGGGAATGTGCTGACTGGCACTATGGGCAGGCGGTACCCAGGGGCTCACTATCGGCCAAGCAGCTCATGTATGTATGCAATCAGTCTAATTTATTTGTTGCTTTATTACTTTGAAGGTTGCTAAGCCTATAAATTTTGAAATAGTATTTATAAAGAATGCTGACTTATTCTAATCGATGCCAGCCCTTCTGTTTGTGTACCCAAGTGGTAAGTATGTTGATTTATGTTTAAACTGCAAAGGGATTTTCTAGAACTTTAAAAAGTGGCTTGCTATTTGACTTGACCAGATCTACTGCAGTGTGCTGTGTTTTGTGCTGTGGTTTGTGTTCAGGGTCTCCAGCTTCGCTTATTATAGTGTTCTAAGGTTAGCTGCTATTCCTCTTCCCATCTATCTCAAGCTTTTAACACCAGCTACCTTCAAATTAACAAGCTACTTGAGCTCAACCTAAAGTGTTACTGTACGCTGTAGCTTCAATTGCTTACAACTGCAGCTAACATCCCCAGTTCAGATTATTTATATTCTTGAGTTCAATATTATTCAATATTATTGTTTCTTTCCTCTGAATTGTATCCTGTCTGATTGTATTACATCATCCCTTACTGAAATTTGTCTTCTGTAGAAGAACAAAAAGTGATCTCCTAGAATTTTATCACCTCACTCCTTCCATCAGCAGCCACGCTGCAGTGGTTCCACAGTGCAGACAATGGGAAGTGAGCTGATGTGACCTCCCTGGAGAGCTGTGAGGTAGCACCCCACTTCCAAAAGTCTGCTGCAGTTCTGTGCACTGTCTGTTGATCCCTCAGGCTACTGAGGTGAAGTTGTGGTAGGTTAACTTTTGTATTCACTCCTCCTTCTGCTGTAGCAAAAGAACACGATCACACTAGGCTTTTCTTGGCATCCAAGCCAGCTTGATAAGCTCTCACTTCTGTAACATTCTTTCTGTTCCTTAAAAGACTTGTTTAAAACTCCCAACCACTTCAGGCATCTGGTTCCACACATACTTGCATTGGCTGATCCAAGTGGTAAACTGCATTGAAAGCTGACAGCTGTGGCAGGACAGGGACTTCTGTGGTGGCTTTGCCATTGGACATGAGGAACTGCATGGTGAGATCCTGCATTTGGAACCTGACATTTGGGGTTTTGCCTAACCACAGGGCTAAACCCTGGGAAGCAGTAAAGCATGGTTGCGTTCTGCTGCAGACTAATCATAGGTATCGTAAGGGTACACGTTAAAATGGTGCATTAGAGCCAGCTTAGATACTGTGTCCAAAGACTTGTTTGAGTGATATTGTCTGTACCACAATGGAGGAAATAAATGGTTGTTACAGATCTTTGGTGGTCCAGTGCTGGAGTACTGAGTTGGACTGATCTCTTTGAATCACTGGTCATTAGTTCTGGGCACTAGCTTTCAAACGTGGCCTCTCTGAGTAGTGCCAGACATGATATTCACATCCCATGTCTAGGCTTAAAGCTCAGACATTTAAGAAATTCTAGTGTAGAAGCATCTAATCAAATCCTTTCCTGCTTAGAGAGAACAAGTGATAAGCATTAGATTCTTACCAGAAGAGCCTGAAATGCTCTTCCTGTTGTCTGGTTGAACAGTTTTAGGCATGAAGAAGTAGAATTGTTTACTTGGGGAAAGGCTGGGGCTCCCATCATCTGCCAGGGCCAAAACTTGCGTCAGAATCAATTGGCACCAGAACTCCCTCAGTTTGAGGACAGATACGCAAACACCTACTGCTTTGTGCTTTTCTTACATTTTCCCTTTCCTTAACCTGTCAAGGTTTCTTAGCCAAGAAACTTCCTTGTTTTTTGATTTTGTTACTGTATGATTTGTGCAGCTTCCTGGTGCTTAACATAACATGCTTTGGACATCCAGCAGTAATGGTATTGAAATTTCCAAGTTTTTGAGAAATGTGGATCATAATGAAATCTCTGATAACAGATTAGATCTTGATGGAAGTGCTGGTAAAACACAGGACTTTGTTTTTGTGTTCTTTGCATAAATAATGAGTAATTGCACCATCTCAGTTATTGTATTTCATGTTTACAGTTGTTGCAATCTTAATGTTGTACATCAAGGGCTTGGTGCTGCCTTAAGCTTTAATCCCTGCCTTTACCTTCTGTCTGTACGTATACCTATACCTAAATAAATCTGTCAAGGGAAGAATTTGGTCTGTGTGGAGTATAGCAGCTGTATTGCCTTTTAGGTGGTAGGGTAACATTTCATCCATTTATGGCATTGACTGTTTTGTTGAAGGATTTCATAGATTTATTGGATAGGATAGTGTGCGGTCTTATGAGGACAACAAAGGGTTTTATAGTTGTGGAAACACATAACAGTTTAAATAGAAAATGGCTTATTTGAAGCCTAATCCTAGGAAATATATTTCCTATACAGGTGCTGAAGGTATAAAAAACAGCAAGGTGTTTAAACTGTAAAATGGAAAGCCATGAATTTAACAGGTGCCTGCAGATTTAGATTTTTTAAAAGTGTAATTGAGAGCAATGATCTCCCTTGATTGTTGTCAGCAAGAAGAACAGTCTTAGGCGTGTCCCTGGCACTGTCTAATGCTGCTTGTGCTGATTGAAACCTCCCTTGTGTGCTATTTTGTTGGGTTTTCTTTCTTTTCTGTATTTTCTTTGTGAAAACATACTGACATGGAGGTACAGCCTCCACCTACTGAGAAGCTAGGTTTTGTAAACAGACTTCTTTCATTAATTTCTCCTGAGCTTTTTTATTTATATGTTTCTAATTCTTGCTCACAAACTCCACTTTCCTGCATTGGTTGCAGCAGCTCTTGTGAGAACATGGCTCTGTTTGGGATGTTTAGGTAGACTCAAATTTTGTTTCATACTAAAATTTTTTCTATGCACAAAGAGTTTTGTATGTCTGGAAAAAACCTTTTTAAAGGATTTGTCCGTGCATATCCTGTCCACAGCATAACAACTCATTTATTTTAGTTAGTTGTAGTCTTTTGCATGACATTGAAATCTGACCAAGTGTTTTAAGAAAATGGGTTTGACTCTAGTGCCTTCCTGCTGGCATTGAATGCTCCTGGAGGGCTTAAACAGCAGCAGCAACAATAATAATAGTAATAATAACAAAAATTAAAAATACAGAGTTTTGTGAGACTGCTTTAAATTAAAAAAGCCCACTTTTTCAGAGGACATTGGAAGTGAGAAAGTACGGAAATATGTGGGTGGTAGTTTCAGCACTTGCTGACCTTTGGAGTGTTCAGGGGTGGAGGCTCAGTCCTGCAGTGGCACATGAGCTTTCCCGGGGAGGAAGGGACCTGCTTGCACCTGGAACTCCAAGACCAGCCTTCACTGCCCACAGTGTTGCCACATGTCCCACTCTAAAATCATCCTCTTGATTTCTGGCAGGTAGAGGTGTATTTCTGGATTTTTAACCTATTAGTGACTCAGACTAAGGTCCATATGGAATGATTTTTTTATGTGATTCTGCAATGTAATTGTTAGAGCTAACTCAGGTTTTATTTCAGAAACTTCTGCTGGAGGGTGACTTTTTTGTCCCAGGCAAACTTTTTTTGGGAAATGCTGTTTTTCTGAAGCATTCATAAATCAAGGATGACAATGAAAGGAAATATTCCTCATGAGAGGGCACTCCCTTGGACTGCAGATGGGAGAGGTTTGAGTTTTGGTTCTTCATGATCATCTGCTTCATGATAAAGCTGAAATGCTTGAGGGCAGAAAGATCACGGTTGATTTTATAAACTTAGGGTTTGATTTCCCTTGAGGAATGCTCAAATTTCTGCTCTGCCTCTGTCTCTGTCAGCTTCCCAAGGAATGCCCAACTGTGCCTTTCATTGCACTGAGCTTGCAAGGGAGCTGTTGTTTCATGAAACTGCTGGAAAATCTTAGCTTCCCTGCACTGAGATAAAGAAACAAATGTGAGAATGGTGACATTATAAATAACAGCAAACCCCTGAATGAGCCCCGAACTTCCAGTCTTGCAGCCACTGCTGACAATTACATTGCTATCATTAGCACAAGATGAGTTGGTGTAAAAATGTATCGTGGTGTGGCTCTGTGGGCTTGGAGCTGCTCCTAGAATAACAGAGTACTGACCCAAAGAGGCACCTAACCCCAAGGAGGAGGAGTGTATGCACTTTGCCACTCTTGGTAGAAACATCAGTAACATTCTACATCTGCAAAATCCTGCCCTGTATCTCCTGACCTTTTCTTTCCAGACATCTTGGTGTAAATGAGATTCAAACTTTAGCACTGCTCAGGTCATGCTTGGGCAGGTGACACTTTTCTGTAAAGTTTCTTTAAGAGCTCCACATAATAGCTGAGGAAAAGGCAGGTATACAGATGACCGATGGAGTGGAAATTGCAGAAATACCCAATGACACGTATTGCTGTCTTCATTAAAGTCTCTCTGGTTTCTGCCTTTCCTAGGAAGCTGTGTGGAGACTGGCATAAGAATTTCATCTTCCTCTTGAGTGATCCTGGTGAAGCTCTAAAGCAGGTGCTCTTGTTGGCAGATAAGAGCTGCCTCAGAGCCTACAGATGAAAAGCTTTCTTTAGGGACCGTGTAGCACTCTGGGTGCCTATCGTCACTTATGCATTTATTTCTTAGCATGATTAAATAGTAGCCCTATCTCAGGATCCTGACAGGTCAGTTTCTCCTTCATGGGGGAGTCAGAGATAGATGCTGAAGGTCTCCTTGTAATTCCATTTGGGGTTGCATATGGTCATGGAGAGCTACCATGATAGCAGATTTGCATTGTGTTTGTCCTCTTTCACAGAAACTCTAGTTCCTTAGGTATTCAATACCTTGTAGAGATTTGTGAGTTTGTAAATAAGAAACAAGAACAGAGATTTTTGGCTAGCATGTCAAGAACTCAAGATTCCATGTTGCAGTTCTGGCCAGTAATACTGGTCGTTTGTTCTGTTCCACTTGTTCAGTGTCTTCTGCAGCCAAGTTTGTTGAAACTGAATCTGCTTTCAGCCACACTTCAGTATAACTAATATAAATGCCAGTAAGTGCAGTTGCTTTTCTGCTATGTTCTCTTTCCATTTTTTTTACGGATTGATCTG